TTTAAAAGTAATTTTCATAAAATAAAAATTGAAATAGTTATTTGAAAAAAACGTACCCAAAAAAAGTGCAACTTTTTTCAGTCATTTTTTGATCCTTAAAATTAATAAAATCGTCAACATTTTTTAACAGCATGATAATATAACTTTACGAAGAAAATAAACTGAAAATCGTTACTGTAGGGCGATCCGCTGAGAAGATCTCGCCAATTTTCGAGAGCGCCTTTTTTTTTTCAAAAAATTGATATATCAAAAAATAATTCATATTTTTAAATTTTTCAAAAAAGTACTTTTCTGGCTTGCCGCAGGCTATGCTTGCAGTAAATAGCAAATATGGGCAAGTAAATATAAACGAGTTATAGAAGAAGAGAAAACAGAGGATTTTTAACGGTTTTTTCGATATATCTCGAAAAGTAACAAAGCAATCGATACTTACAAAAAAATCAGTCGATAGGTCTTTTTAAAACCTACAACTTTCTCATTTAAAATTTTTCAATCGGTGCTACATTTTTATAGTTATTTTAGAAAAACCGTTTTTTGCAACTTTGCGATTTTTTTTTAACCATGTTCCCCATTTTAGATCGAGTTTAAAGAACAAGAAACTCAATTTAAAATTTAATTTGCTATACGGTCATATTATTTTTGTCCAGGTAATAATTTCTGTAAGCATTTCTCTATAATGCTTGGACTATAGTGAATATGATAAATTTCAGTTAATTACTATTAATTACATTTAATCCCCATTAATTACGCTTAATTATGCAACTACCGCAGGTCCTGCACGCCAGGGACATAATACCCCTGGACCCCAACGGCTTCAGCGACCCGTTCGTGATCATAGAGCTGCTGCCCCACCGGATATTCCCCCACTGCAACGAGCAGCAGACCAACGTGCACAAAAAGACCCTCCACCCCATCTTCGACGAGTGCTTCGAGTTCAGCGTGTCCCTGGAGCAGTGCCGCTCCCCGGGAGCCATGATAGCGTTCACGGTGATGGACCACGACGTCCTCACGGCCAACGACTTCGCGGGTGAGGCGTTCCTGTCGCTGGGGAGCATACCGGGGGTGGCGGACACCGGCCCCGGCGTGGACAACTTCCACGGCCTGAAGCCGGTGGAGCTGGTGCTCATGCAGCAACATCAGAAGAGTGAGTATTTGTCCTGTAATTGTTTTATTATTGTTACAAATAACTTGTCAAAAGGTCGACGAACATTAGTGACTTAGCGCCGATTGACGTTTACACCCTGTTGGGGGTTGACACCCCTTCTTGGGGGTGGAATTTTTTTTTCAAAAATAAGGGAAATCAATAGAGAATCAAATTTTAAGCAAAAAATATTCAAGGAATTTTTTCGAGAAATCAATAGTTTTTTAGTTATTCACGATTGAAAACTTGGAATTTTGAGTGCAAAAAACACTTTTTCAAAGTATTTTTCGCGTATAACTCTAAAACTACGTATTTTATTAAAAAAAAGTGTAATGAACAAAAATGTAGATTATCAATAAAACAAAGAAAATCATTTTTTAAAAAGTGTTGTACGTCCTCTACAAAGCGAAATATGGTTAGCGGAAGGGGACTTGTTTTGTGGGGAATACTCGAATCGATGTTTTCAACGTCAAATAACAGAAAAAATTTTAATTTTACGTATATAACGCTTCCGGAGTTTTTTGTAGTACTCAAAAAGACCTTCAAAATGAGCACTTATAAAAGTTAATTAGAGAAAAATTGAAGGAGTTATCGTCAAAAACAAATGGGTTGCTAATATTTTTTAAAGAAAAATGAGCAGTAAACGCTGTACCATTTCCATCAGAATTAAAATTAATCGTAGACCCCTTACAATTAGTTTCGTTTTAGTGCTTTTCACACGATCCTGAAGTTAGACCGGTTTAGAATGCGTATTTTTTTAATAATGTACGGTAAAAGTTAAAAACGTATTTATCATTATTCAAAAAAAATTGCCTTATTTAAATAATAACTCCGAAACTATGAAAGATACGTAAAAAGTGATAGACAACAAAAATTTAACTTTTTTTCAACAAATATTTTGCTTTTTTTTATTCCTATAGCATAAAAAATAAAGGAGATATCGCCGCTTGAAGTATCAATTTTAGTGAAAAAACGACCTGTCTCGAGCCCTTCGATCCTTTCCCTTAAAAAAACGAAGGACTTAAAAGGTTTTATACGCAAACGATCTTACAGCTCTTGAAATTATTTTTCAATTGCTTTTTTGTAGGTTACTATAGCTTCGAATTTAACCGAGTTATGGTAAAAAAACCAATGACATTTTTTCGGGCAAAATAGGCTTTCTCATTTTTATATATTATACAGGGTGTGCTATTTAACACTCCCGCTGCCAATATCTCCGAAATGAAGAAATTTATTTTAGTTCCGGAAATTGGGGTGGTTAGATCCCTCGAATAGCTTCAAATTGTAGTTAGAATTGTTAGTTCAAATCTTTCCGTACAGATGGCGTGGCGAAACAAAAAATTTTTTGTTCTCTGGAACGTGGAAATGCAGTCCATCTGAAAGATCTTTAAATTTTGAGTAATTTTTGTAATATAAAGTTTTTCCCTATATTTACTTGTTTTCGAGATATGTCGACTTCAATATGCAATGGGTGATATAACAGGAAAATATATTATTTTATCTAAATCACACCGAGACAAAATATTCTTTTAAAATATTGTTATGATGACTTCATTCACATCACATACTAACTAACAAACAGTAAATTATAAAAAAAAAGTTATCAACTCCAGAAAAAAAATTGTACAATGGTAAATCGTATAACTAGTATACTTAAATTGAAAGACGCAAACTGATAAAACTGTAATTATTGGAAAACCAATATGTGTCATCTGTCATTGTTTTGTTTTAAACAAATGACATGCGCCACCTATGACTGCATTTTTTAATAACATTTGATAAAATACAGTTCGTCTCTGCCCTTTATAAGATTTACTAGTTATACGATTTACCATTGTAGGTACAATTTTTTTTCTGTAGTTGATCATTTGTGTTTTTATAATTTATTGTTAGTTAATTAGTATGTGGTGTGAATAAAGTCATTATAACAATATTTTAAAAGAATATTTTGTTTCGGTGTGATTTAAATAAAATAATAGATTTTTCTGTTACATCATACATTGCATAATGAAATCGACATATCTCGAAAACAAGTAAATATAGGGAAAAACTTTACATCACAAAAATTACGCACAATTTAACGACCTTTCAGATGGATTGCATTTCCATGTTCCAGGGAACAAAAAATTCTTTAGTATCGCCACGCCATCTATACAGAAAGATTTGAACTAACAATTCTAACTACAATTTGAAGCTATTCGAGGGATCTAACCACCTCAATTTTTGAAACTAAAATAAATTTCTTCATTTCGGAGATATTGGCAGGGAGAGTGTTAAATGGCACACCCTGTATATTATTATTATATTATACAAATAAAATAAGTAAAAAAATTGAGTGTGATTATTTATATGTAGCGTAGCAATTTTTTTCTATAATTGACTATATTTAAAAATCGATTATAATAAAAATATTTTACATTAATATTGGTAAAAGGGTAGTTTATAAGAGTTGAAAATGGCAAAAGTAAAATATTCTCTCAAAAACAATATAAGGGAATTTTTATTTTAAATTATTGCACAATTATAGCATTCCAAGATTTAAAACGTAATTTTTTATAATTTTTTTAGCACAGGGGTGATTTATAAGGGTTGAAAAGTGTTATGAGATACAAATTCTTTCATAAGCAATGAGGGAATTTTTATTTTAAATAATTGCACCGTTAAAGCATTCCAAGCTTTTAAAAAGTAATTTTTTATAATTTTTGTCAATACAGGGGTGGTTTTTAGGGGTTGAAAGGGAAAAATTCTTTTATTAGCTATAAGGTAACTTTTATTTTAAATAATTGCACGATTTAATCATTCCAAATCTTTAAAAAGTAATTTTTATCATTATTTTTTGCATAGGGGTAGTTTTTAAGGGTTAAATAAAGGGTCGAAAAGATCAAATATATCATAAAACATGTTCGACAACATGGAACATTATTTTATCTTTGCGCTTGAACAAGATTTTTATCAATAAAATGCTCAAAACTTAATTTTTTCAATTTTTTTCACTTGGGGGTTAGTTTTTACCCCTAAAAAACAAAAAGCGTCAATCGGGCTTATGTAACTTTTGAACTTGAACCTAAGCTGAGCCTTATTCTAAATTTTCAAATGCAAATCCATGCAGTTTCGAAGAATTCGGAGGTTACAGCTGATTTTCAGCTTCAATGACTGTACTATTAGGAGTAGCTTCGAAGACATCAAAACTTACGCCAACACGTGTCCCCCTTGAAAAGAAAATCGACGTGTCCCGGGTCTTTTTGGTTTTTGTTCAATTCCGGTATTTTTCAGGTGGGAGGTTTTAATTGAAACACCCCGTGTAATAGTAACACTAGGCATAAAGTACCTAGCAATGAAATTAACAAACTATTATCGATTTACAATTTTTTGTTTTTTTCAGACCACCCGATACTTCAAATACTGGAATCGAGGATGGGGGACCGCCTGGCCGGCGAGTTCGTGAAGAAACAGAAACAGAGATTTGCAATCAAATAATTGGTAGAGTCTTAGTATTTTATACCTCTATCTTCCTAAAGAATGGTTGTAACCACTATTTTTTCTACGTGACGTGTCTACTCGGCAAACTGACAGATTTCTACACTTCTCCACGCACTGAATTTTGTATATACATATTTAAATGTAATAAGTATTTTTTATATGTTGAACTAACTCTTCATTGTTTAACGCGGAACGCCCGTAATATTAAAATACGTTCCGAGCCTACGGGACGGTGGATATTTTAATGTGCGCGGGGATTTCGCGTGCAGGAATATTGTTGGTTTGTCACGCTACTGAATGTATAGCCGCCTCCCTCAGTCTAAAAGGACTTTTCTAATGCAAGATCTACTTTTCGACGACTGACCGCGGTGTTGTAAATGTTAGCTGTAGATTTGTTACAACGCGTTTTCGAGGCGAACGATAAAAATGCCAGACTAATACCGGGCGAAAAGGTCGCAGTTTGATATTCGTATACCGAGACGTAATTTTGATATGCAGTACGCGCCTAAAGTATGGAATAAATTCGGTAAAAACGAAACGAATTTTTTTTGGGAAAAATCCTCGAACAGGTCGATTTTTAATTTAAAAAATACATATTTTAACATAAAAGGCGATTTTCAACAGTCATTTGTTTTCGAGTTATGGCGTCATTGAAATTTTTTTTTAAGTAACAACCCGCTATTTTTTTTCTTGATTCCGAAAGATCGTTTCATTATCGATCGAAATGTTCTGTTTGTGATCTTCTTGGACGTCCAGGTTTTGGAATGTCCACAACATTGCCAGTTTCTCTAAATTTAGATTCCATCTTACTGACTGTCGATTGGCTGATACGGCGATCTGGATGTTTTTCGTTAATTAAATCGCAAACTTTCTGCTGCGTTCTAGTCTTATCCCCGCATCCGATAAGAATTAAAATTTAAATTCTTCGTGTGACAGTTAAATGTGCCATAATACCTTTAAATTCAACAATAATTTTTATATAGCTTACAATACTTATAAAATCGGTATGACGGTGACACTTTGTAAAGATTTACACCTACGTGATCCATAAAAAACTTCAGGCATTTCGAAAAATCTAAATTTGAAAACGTTTTTGCTTTATTTTAATCGATTTGGGTTTTCTAACATTCAATCGTCATTTACTCGAAAACTTTCCTATGTAAGATGGCAACATTTTAATACTGTCGTATCGACAATGAAACAATCGACGTCATTACTCGATAACAAATGACGGTTGAAAATCGCATTTCATGCTAAAATATGTAATTTTTAAATTAAAAATCGATCTGTTCGAGGATTTTTCCCAAAAAAAATTTGTTTTACTGAATTTATTCTATACTTTAGGTGCGTTACTGTATATGGCCGATCGAATTGCCGAAGGTACCTCGCCAAAATTTCGTTCAGTAAAGAAAGACGTGTAAAAATTAGGAAAAATTCCGTAGAATTAATTGAAAATGGCGACCAAAGTTCGCAAAAGACTAAACTCTTTGGAAAAAAATGTTTTAGATAAAATTTGTAGAACTTTTTATAACAAAGATTTTCCTGTTGGTCGTAGTACAGTTTTTTTTAAATTCGTGCAAAAATGTCAGCTTTCAAAAGGCTATAACAAAAAGATCTATATTTTTCGACCCAAAAAAGAGAAATCAAAGTTTTGTTAGATTTTTCCCATGTTTCCAATTATTTTGCAATACACGCACAATTTCCACAGGAAAGTACAACGCTTCGAGAAAATTTTAAGCCCAAGATGGGTCACGATAAGTGCATTACTGTATGATTTATTGAAACGTGAAAAAAAATTATTTTATTCGAAAAACTCAATTTTTGCAGAAACTATTAAATATTTTGCAATTTTACAAAATTGCACTTATTTTACCTACCAAGGACTACATATTCTGAAAGTTTCGTAAAAAAATCTTTTTTCTTTTTAAAGATATAGAAACGTTAAAAAAATGCGATATTTGACCGTATTTTTGCAACAACGAATACATTTGTTTATCAATCGACATCGGGCTGAGATCAAAATTTTTGTTATACAAAGTTCTACAACTTTTGTGTAACATATTTTTTTCTAAAATGTTTAGTTTTTTGTTACATGAAAAAAACTGTTTTTTCGTGATGTTGGAGTAAAATAGTTCATTCAATTCTACGGAATTTTTCCTAATTTTTACGTATCTTTGCCGAATCAAATTTTGTCACGTAAAAATCTAATTTGATTGGACTAAATATAAAAGCCCACATTTTTTTTGTTGTGCATGGTCGAGACAGGCGGATAACGGTGGGCAATATTGAAATATTGAAAAATTTCGCGAGGAGCCATGAAAATTATTGTTTGAAAGTTTGAAAACAAGCCGAGCTTGATATTTCCTTTAAAAAATGTCTGGAGATTCGGATGGTGAAGTGGTTCTTCATCGATGGCGCAGCCCCAACAACGAGAACCCCTTTGACTTTGATAATACTATTTTGTGTGGGGGGGTTAGGTTAGGTGCGTAGACAAAAAAAAATCACAGTTGTGTATTTGTAGCAGTGACTGTTGTCGTCCCTGCCATGTGGTATCGTAGAGTGGAAAGGTTGGTGAAAGTGACTGGGGCTCCACACGACTACCAAACAACTGCACTACTCAACACTTAAAATCAAAAAGGCGGAACTAGAAACAGATCCGGCGGAATAAATTTTGACAATCCTTTGACGCAACATAATCAATTACGTATACTCATATCAGATTATTTAAAGGTTAAATCTTAAAAAGTCGCCGTCGTGTACATAATATTAAACTTGAACTGGCATTTTGCATCTGAAAGTTGATACCTGTATTGTTTGACTTAATCGTTGTGTCCCATTTAATGATATTAAAAAATCACTAAAAGATGACCTAAAATAATCGTGTAAAAGTCGGTCGAGGACTGCTATAAAAATACGATTCTTTGACATACAAAAAACATGTTGGTTTATTGTTTGATGTAGGAGAATTTAAATCTGAGCTATTGTGCATAATTTATTTTCTCGTAGTTTCTTTATGAAGCCCAAAATTAAATCGTAAACGAAACGGTTAGTCGCTATCGATGAAAAATATTTGCTTTACTGCAGTATTTCCTCTGATGATGTTACTAAATTTGTTACAAGTGGTAAAAAAGTGTCAAAAGTAAGTTTAGATTATTTATACAGGGTGTTAATGAAATACGTCGAAAACGTTACGGAGGATCTTTCAGTGATTTTAAAACAAAAAGGTTGGATTTGCAAATCAATAATTTTCAAGACCGGGTGTTGAAATTTAAAGAAAAAAATCGCCTTTTTTAAAATATCTGAAGATTTTTGATATAGAAAGATGAAACTTATTCTAACGACTTATCTAATTTAACTGAAAATGTCACAAACTCAATGCAACTGGTCGTTACGAAAATTTTATCACTACTTATAACTCGTTATTGTGTTGCAAAGAAAAAGAATTGAAAAACGAGGCGTTTTCGATTTATTACTTTGTATGGTTTGAAATTATTTATTTGTGGCATAGTTTTAATTTTTTTCTCTATTTTTTTGATATTTAGCCACTTGTTTAAAAAAAATAATGCGCCAAAATGATTGGTCTGGGGTTATTTTTATAAAAATAATTTTATGTAACCAAAAATCTCACACGAAAACAGCAGACAAATACAAAATTGAAAAAACACCACCATACAGGGTGTTATTTAAGTACGTCGCCAAACTTGAAGGGGTGATTATTTAACCAATATTTTTGATTAAAAAAATTTGCGCCACTGACTTAAAACTTTTATAATTTTTTCCGCTTTATATAAGCGACTTTTTGTCTCTTGAATGTTTTTCGTATCACTTTATTGCATGTCCATGGACAACAAAAAAAAAACGTTTTTTAATAATTAATAAAACAATTTTTTTTTATGTTATTACGTTGTCACAGGGACATATAATAAAGTGGTTTTTATTTTTATTTTTATTTTTTTCTCCAAAAAGGAAGAACGAAAAAAATTCTAGATACAAAAAAAATGTATTTTTAGTTGCTTAATGCGAAAAAAATTATAAAACTTCTAAAAAAGTCAGTGGACACCCCTTGAAGTTTGGCCACGTACTTAAATAACACCCTGTATATAGTAATGTTCCGAAAATCTGTCTGTTTTTGTTTGCAGAACTGAGAATGAGTTTTCGTTTTAAACTATTCAAAACTTTTAAAAATATTGCGAGAGTAAAAGTCACAAATTCTGAAGATGAAAACATATTTTCGAAAAAACTTTTTGAAGTGCGTGACATGTAACGATGTGTATTTTCTATTTATCAGCTTTCTCATCGCTGTAAAATTTCTGGTTACGCGAAAATTGTTTAATTAAAATACTTCATTTGACTAATTTTTTTGGCGTAATTTTTTCAAAATTTACGATTTTAAGTGCAACATAAACATTAAAAGTCAAAAAAAATAATTTGCGCAATTTTTTTCCCTGTCTAGCAAAATGTCTGCAAGGTTCGTCAAATTTGTCACAATAAAATACTAATGATCGTTTTTTTTTTTTGGAAATGCAATTAAACTTTACAATCGATCATATTTTATTGACAGTGACTTTCAATACCTCCACCACTGGTTGACAGATTTACATCTGAATTCACTGAATATCTACGTTTAATCCGTTGAATTTATTAACCAAGTTTCGTAATTCCACCTGAAACATTTTCAGGAATATTTTAAAGAGTGAATTTTTTATCGAATTTTAAAACTGCTTGACCTTTTTACCTTAAGATCACTCAAAGAATCAACCCTTAAAGTTTGTTAGTTTGTCGATGTACTTAATTAATACTCTTATGTATAAAAACGGGTACTAAACTCGGCTTCTTGAAGAATACGTGAGAAAATTAAAAATATCATCTGTATATAAGTGGTTGTTATTTAATAAATTTAAAACTCTCTCTAGAGTGCTGTAGATCCCTCCCGGTCCGTTTTTAAATTTTAAAGATTTACTATAATAGTTTTACTAAGAAGTAATTTTAAGGAATGTCTGCAGACCTGCGGTACAATCTACATGGATTTCTTGACCTTCCATAAAAAAAGTGTATATACAATCGAACTGTTTTCAGGAATTAGGTACTTTTCCTTTTCCAGCAATTATTAAAAATGAATTAACCTTTCCGTTACTTCTTCGGAGAGCCGTTTCAAAAACATCTATCTATTCTATCAGGAAATTTCATTTTTGTAGAATTTGTAGACAGTTTTCTGAATTATGGTACCAACAAAAATCACTTTAATTGACTTTCGAAGAAGATAGAAAACTATTACGCCATCAGTCAATTTCAAAGAGATACTTTTATACTAGATGATGGTTTTGTGGGTTATTATGCCAATTTTCAATCATTCCTGGACGTTTGTTGGTACCGTACCAAGAACACGAAAAATTATTTAAATACAAAAAATTCAAAAATTATTTCACAACTAAGAAAAGTATCAAAATCGTCCGACGATATATTTTTCTAGTTTCAAATCCGCAAGTTACTTACGCACTTAAAATCAAACTGTTATATACTTCGTTTCGGTGATGATAATAATTTATATACCGTATACATATAAAATATACAAAAAAAAACTGTTGTATAGAACTCACGACGTTAACGCGCATATCTTGCACAAAACAAACACTTCCTCTAACCAGACGGCAATCAACTACTACCCTCTACGCTTAAATTCGATTGATTTCTTAGCTTTTAAGTGTGGATAATGCTTACCCCACTCAAGCTTTCGCAAGTCTGTTATTTTCGTTACCCTATCTATCGAGCTTAATGTACTGTATGTCAATTGAAATCAAAATAATGTATTCCATAAATATAATTAATGTGATATGATATCTTGTCTTTGTCTACCGAAAAATAAACAAAACCCAAATATGCTTTGCGTTTTATTTCTCGTCGACAGGTGTGTGTTGCTGGCCAATTTTATGGAACATGGCAACATGGAACATCAAAAAAAAAAAGTGTAATATACATAAAAATAAAACAAAATCGGCTCTAGCATCCTTTAAAGGCACCAGGACGGCAATAAAATATACCAAAGTATCTAGAAATGACATCGGAAGACATTAAAATCTATCGAAGCTGCTTTAGAATGCCACAAATATGTCAAACTAAGCAAATTGCTTAGACATTCTTCAAATTCGGCATCAAATACATTAAAATAGTCCGAAAAACCTTTAAAATATATCAACGACAGAATACACCACAATAATTTAAAAATTATTAGCTCGTATTTTTATTTTTTTCTAAAAGTATTAAACTAGAGTTACAAATAAATTTTTGGGAAAAAAAAATGTCTAATTCATTTCAAAGAACACAAAGTACATATTAAAAATGCTTTTAATAAATTTGAAATTCAGAGAATTATACTATATATCTCACACCACTGTTTTGTCAGTTGCTGCAAAATTAAAATTAGAAGAAGCTGTACCTATTACAAGCAACCAGTAAAACACGCAAGTGTTAATTGAATTGTATACTTATATTCATAGAAAATATAGTACTAAGGTAGAATGAAATCTAACATTTGAATAATGAAACTGTCATGGCGGCGTCACATGTTAGTTAGCTTCCAAAATAAAAGATGGCGCAGAGAATACTAACCCTGTCATTTTGGGTTGGTTGGTAATGCAGTTTGGATTTTGCACGTATTTGAAGTTTGGCTTTCGTTACCTTTGGCACAGAACACAGAATATAAATCTGTCTTTGGTTTCTTAGGTTATCCTCTGAAAATTGTAAATTATAGTATTGCAAGAATTGTGTTTATAATTATTTAGTGCTTAAGAGTTTTCTATTTGTTATTATATTATACTGGGAATACGATGTGTAAGTTTTAAGTTATATTTTATTAAAAACCAAACCTATATCTTTACCAACATTATGTGGAACACTCATACTCATGTTACCTGTATTAATCGATTAGAAACAGTCCACATAAAATGTGCATGTTTGAAATTACATATTATTTAAGTTAAATATAGATAAAAATAATTATGTGTATGATGATAAACTCCAACTAATATTTTATAAAACCTTTGATACTTAGATGCTTACAAAATTTTTAATGGTGGTGAATTGGTTTCTTTATTCAGTTTGAGACATAGAAAATATACTGTTAATATTAAGGTTTGAAAGTTCCAAACTATATGAACTATTGAATTTAACCCAATATTGTACAAATATTCGGTTAGGTGTATACCTATCTCCGTGAGATTATTATAACAGTTCATGCATAATTTTTATATTTTTACAGCTTACTTACCAACTTATCAAGTTTATGAAGCAAATGAATTAAATCGTTGTCGTTTTTACCTACAATTAAATACATAACAAGAAATTGTTTTAATAGTACATGCATAACAACATTCTGTATAAATCAATTAGGATTTCTTGTAGATACAAAATAAACTTAAAATTATTAAAAAATGTTTTATTTCCTTATCGAAACCATTTACTAAGTATATCTTGGCAAATGTCAAAATTTGAAAAATACTATAATATAATAAAATAATAAATAAGAAATTGTCTGTATTTATTTGTGGCATTATAAATGTTATAATTTGGATATTTTGCCATAGTTTGAAGAAAAAAAAACTGGAAAAATAAACCCTTGTACCGATAGGGACAGTCAAGTGTCAATACTGAAAACTTTTGCCTAATAGTGAGATGCCAGAGACATACATCTACATGTATAAGTCTGGTTACGCACTGGAAAAACAAATTTTATGAAACCTCTAGTTTCGTTATCAAAGCAGAAGCGAATTAGAAAAGTACTGAATATTAGTTTTTCGCTACATTTTCTGTTTAACTAAATAATCTGTTCTCAAAAGTATTGACACTTGACTATTCCTATTTGTATAAGGGTTTACTTTTAAAATAATATAATATAGAGGATATAAGTGAGAAGTCGTTTCCATACGATAGATGGCGCTGTAATCAGTTCACAAAGTATAAAGTGTTGCCTACTCATTAGGGGCTAAGTAGTAGTAAGCTTCCAAAACGTTACGAGGCGCTGTTTCGCGGTTTAGTGACAATATTAGGGACATTTCATTCTACGTTAGTACTATATTTTCTATGACTTATATTTTAGAATTTCAGAACCATTTTGTCAACGAATAATCATATCAAATTCATAAAAATAAAATGTTACGTCTATCCTTTGCGTAAAAACTCTTTTTACTTTACTGAACTTATTTTCTATTACAATATAATTAATTTTATGATTCAAAAGTACAGTTCAATACCAAGAGAGCTCGTCATAGTCGTACTGCCCTTGGGGCGAATAAGCATGCGCGTTAGTAGTATAATATCGGTACATCAGAGAGTGGTTTTTAGTGGTGTTTGCCATTAAATTTCTATTTAATAGGAATTGATAATATATGTACATACAATTATTCGTTTTGTGAGCACGGCCAGGACTAATATACGTGCAGTTATGCAAATATTTAAAAAGCTGGAAAGGAGATAGCATAATTTTGCACCAAACAATACGGTGAGTGATCGGTCATCGCGGGGTTTCTGTTGTATTTGCACGTGTGATTTTTATAGAGAGGGATGCCGGCATCTACCTTAGATCCCGTTAACGCGGCCCTCCGCACTGCATTGACGAAAAACGATTCGGAAAACGCATTGGACACTCAATTAGCGGGATCCACGAAAAAGGCGCTGCTCTCCAACATCGAATTCGAACCTGCAGGAAGTTATCAGAGCACAGTTCTTGACAAATTAAAATCAAAATACATCGTCCTGAAAAGCTCGGAAGCTCCACAGCCAAGGTAAGGTATCCATGCTTGATAACATTGCCGTCAGTCCATACCGTTTCCTTGTCTACAGCAAGCCCGAGGAGGCCATGGGAGCAGATGAAACCTTAAAATTGGCAAAGTGCGAATTATACCCTCTCGATGCAGTTCAACTGGGATGGAATAACTGCGAGTGGTCTGTCGGTGCCGGTATGGTTAACATGGGGAACACTTGCTATTTAAACTCTACCCTGCAAGCCCTGTTTCATGTACCTGCTTTCGTGAATTGGCTTATGTCGGACAAGGAACACTCTGCGGAATGTCAAGATGCAGGTTAGCTTTTTCTGTGTTTAATTAATGTTCTTGAAGATAGGTTACTTGTTTACAAATATTAAAAATTCAATTGCATAGGGAAATGTTCACAAAAATATTAAAAAGAATATGTAAGTTGTTTGATTTCTAGTGTAAACGTGAACGTATTGATAAAACTTTCTTTAGGTGGTCTGTGCATAATATGCGCTATGCGGAAAACCTTACAAGCCTCCCAGCAACGTAACGCTAACTCAATCCGTCCATTGTTAATCTATAACAAACTTAGATTGGTTTGCCGCAACCTAATACCCGGAAGGCAGGAAGACGCGCACGAGTTTCTGAGGTACCTAGTCGAGGCCATGGAAAAGGCGTTTCTGAGTCGTTTCAAAAACCACACGGAATTCGACTCCAAAATAAAAGAGACAACACCGTTGAACCAGATATTAGGTGGTTACTTGCGATCGGCTGTGAGGTGTCTGAAGTGCGGTCATGTCAGCACCACGTTCCAACATTTCCAGGATTTACTGTTAGACATAAGGAAAGCCCAAACCGTAGACGAAGCCTTGGAGTTGTATTTCTCCAGGGAGAAGTTGGATGACGAATCGTACCATTGCGAATCCTGTCAAAAGAAAGTAAGTAAAACGTTAAGTGTGTGCGTCGAATGTGTTATTTATAATTTCGTCGTAGGTCCCCGCGACAAAACAGTTTTCTTTGGAGAGGGCGCCGATGGTGCTGTGTATCCAGCTGAAGAGGTTTCTGGTCAGTAATAATAAGATAACGAAACACGTGACGTTTCGGCAAAGGCTGGACCTCACGAGATATGCCCGGCATCGCCCTAACGTCCCGCTTATATATAGACTTGTTGCCTTAGTAACTCACATGGGACCTACCGTGGGCTGTGGGCACTACACTGCCGTTGCCCAAGCCCCTTCTGGTAACTTCTACCAGTTTGACGATAGTATGGTAAGTAATTTTTTTGTTTTGCTTGTGGTATTGTGTTATTTCCAAAACAATCATTTAAAAAACGGAATATACTGAAATTAATGCAATGAGTTTCGGTGGTTCTTGTTTCACCCATGTAGCGACCTGTTGTCGTATCTTATCAAGTGTATCGATATTATAATAGTTCACCTAAACTAGGTCATTGTCAAAGGTCATTCACAAACTAAACAGTTAAAAAAATGGGACAAATAAAGACTTTTCATTGAAAACTTGAAGAAATTTTAAAAAATATTTCTATTCTAACAGTTTTTATTTATTTTTTTAATGTGTACATTTTATAAAACAACAAAAATAATTATTTAATAAATCATTAAAAAAGTTTAAATTTTTTAAAAATAATTGAGAATTTTTGTAAAGTTAACAAAATAATTACGAAATAAAACCATTTTAATTTGACCTTGAATGAAAAACGATATGAATTTATGCAATTGAAAAATGTTTTTTTTTAATTTTTTACACAGAATTACCATATTTTGTAGTTATATTTTTAAATCGAGACTGTGCATTTTTGATTCTCAAAAACCGTCCTCTCTAGTCTCGAAATTCTGTGCACATAGAAATAACAGATTTTTGGGCCAAAATTAGTCAGTTTAACTAAACTTGTCTCTTGCTAAGTTATCAAATAATAATAAAAAGATTTAACCATTCAAAAAAAAAGAGATGTTTTGCGTTTTATGATTTTTTTGGTTAAACATAGCAGTGGTTTCCATTACTGTATTCTAGGTTTTCACAAATAAATTTTTTTTTTATTATCTAATCTAATTTTTTAATGGTAAAATGGTAAATGGTAAAAAAATACAAAAAAAAAACTTTTTGATATGAAATGAAGTTGTAAAATCAGCCGCATAAAATATATTAATAAATTTGTTTATTGTTTACAATTATTTTAGCTACAACGACAAAAAATGGCATATCATATACAGGGTGTGCCAGTTAACACTCCCGCTGCCAATATCTCCGAAATGAAGCAACTTATTTTAGTTCCGGAAATTGGGGTTGTTAGGTCCCTCGAATAGCTTCAAATTGTAGTTAGAACTGTTAGTTCAAATTTTTCTGTATAGATGGCGTGGCTATACTAAAAAATGTTGTGACCCCTGGAACGTGGAAATGCAGTCCATCTGAAAGATCGTTAAATTTTAATTAATTTTTGTAATATAAAGTTTTTCCCTATATTTACTTGTTTTCGAGATATGTCGACTTCAATATGTAATGTATGACATAACAGAAAAATCTATTATTTTATCTAAATCACACCGAGACAGAATATTCTTTTAAAATATTGTTATAATGGCTTTATTCATACCACATACTAACTAACAAACAATAAATTATAAAAAAACAAATGATCAAGTAGAGAAAAAAATTGTACAATAGTAAATCGTATAATATATACAGTTAAATTGAAAGACGCAAACTGATAAACCTGTAATTATTGGAAAACTAATATGTGTCATCTGTCATTGTTTTATTTTAAACAAATGACATGAGCCACCTATGATTGCATTTTTAATAACATTTGATAAAATACGGTTCGTCTCTGCCCCTTATAAGATTTACCATTATACAAATTTTTTTCTGTAGTTGATTATTCGTTTTTTTTTTATAATTTATTGTTTGTTAGTATTTGATGTGAATAAAGCCATTATAAACAATATTTTAAAAGAATATTTTGTCTCGGTGTGATTTAAATAAAATAAAAATTTTTCTGTTATATCATACATTGCGTATTGAAGTCGACATATCTTGAAAACAAGTAAATATAGGGAAAAACTTTATATTACAAAAATTACTCAAAATTTAACGATCTTTCAGATGGACTGTATTTCTACGTTCCAGGGAACAAAACATTTTTTAGTATCACCACGCCATCTATACAGGAAGATTTGAACTAACAATTCTAACTACAATTTTTTGAAGCTATTCGAGGGGCCTACAACCACAATTTCCGAAACTAAAATAAATTTCTTCATTTCGCTGATATTGGCACTGGGAGTGTTAAATGGCACACCCTGTATATGTACAAAATTCTAGCATTCCCAAATTTTATTTAATTTTGTGTCATTTGGAAGAAAAATTCTAAAATGTTCTCAGTTTTAATGCCATCTAATGGCTGAACAAAGCTGTTTTGGACAGCGGTAAGTTTAGTTAAATCGCCATGCCAAGAATCTTTCTTTCAATCTAGTTTGGGGCACCCTGTACAGGGCAGGCTAAATTCGGCACCTTTAACGAAAGTTTCCTGTTTCAAGAAAAGTCGAACGGCAAAAACCACATCTCAATATCTTATTTCATTAAGAAATACAACATAACTTTCTGTCCCAGTATTTGATTTTCGTAAAAAGTAGTTTTAAACAGTTTTTTGCCTTGATTCGTGAGTTATAACAAATTAATTTATTTATGATATGATTAAAAATTATTTTCTTGTAAGTCAGTTGTAATTTGAGGAAACCTGAATCTACAGAAAAATGTGATACAGTTTTGAATCCTGCACAAACAAAAAGTTACTGAGTGTCAAAGAAAAATTTCCAAATTGGAAACATTCCCTGTCTCGTAAATGAATCAAGATATTGATATGCTGTTTTCGTCAATGACTTTTCGATGAAGTGACATCGAAAGTCCTTTTTCTATCTTTTCGGCAAATAGACTTTGGCCCGCCCCACACATAATTTTCAATTCATGCCACATTATAGAGTTACTTCATAATTGCAGGTCCGACCGATATCTCACCAAGTTGTGTTCAACACAAACGCGTACATAATGTTATATGAACTGGAATCCTCCCCGTTTGCTCAAAAATCCGCAATGACAACGAGTAAACTGAAGATGCCTGTACCCACCCCAGAGTACAGTCAAATAAACAGCAGTGGCGGTAGCACGAGCAACACAAACGGCAGTAGTAGCATCGTTCCTAAAACTCTGACGAACGGCATCGGTTTCACCAGCAACAAGGTCTACGGCCCAGAACTCCCGCCCGACAGACTTGAAAAGAAAACGAACGGCAGTGCTCCGTCTAGTGACACGAACGGCAATGCGAAACGCCCACCCTTGAGTGACAGTGACTCTGAAGGTGATCACGTGACGAACGCAGACCCTATCGAGAATAAAACCGTAAAGTCCCCCGTCGTCAAAGACACAGACATTACCTCCACGTGTAACGACGTGCCTGCGCCGTTACACAAGTCCGCTTCCCCCGTCTCCTCGCCCAACGTCTCCACCAGCGCATCCAGCCTCTCGAGTCCCGAATCCACCCCCAAGAAACCAAACGAGCCACCTGCCGCCGCCAAGCCGCTAGTTCCTTACGAGTCCGACGACACGAGCAGCTCGGACGACTCGAATCAATCGCCGCAGGAGGCGGAGTCGAGGGTGTCGACCAAAGCGGCTGTCGGCGACTGGCAAGTCAGCTCCTCGACCGATGTCAGTCACGAGCCGTCGTCCGCCGGGAAGAGCTGGGACAGGAAGAAACTGCTGGCACAACAGAATAGCCAGAGTGCCGTCAGCGAACTGTTCAAGATGTCACACGGCGGGTACTCGGCGCCGGTGTCCACCTGGAACGGTACGAGGTCACAGCTGGACAAGGAGATCTCCAACGAGAGACGGGAGGATAGGAAGCGGTCCCTGGCTGACAGTTCCGATCAAGGGCGGGTGAAGCATCAGAAAATTAATTCGAATTACAAGTCGAACCCTGGATATAATCCGATTCAAGTAGGTAACTAATTTTTTGGCTTTCACCGTTTTATTTTTGGTTTTCGCCGTTTTCGCTGCTTTGTTCCTTTTGCCCTTTTTTTATCTCTAATTGTTTTAAGAAATTGCGTATTTATTTTGAAAATACTTCATATCTGCGCTACATAGAAGTTGCTGGAAATTTGTAAGTGTTAAAAAAAATTGATAAGTGATAACTCGCTATCGCTATTTAAATAATATTTAATAATAGTCCAATCAATTTGTCACGGCCTTATGTTAAATTTACAAAAAATACCACCTGCAAACAAAAAGTATGGTGATATGGGAAAAAAAATTCTAAGAAAGGTAGTGTATTTTTCCTGTGGCGCATAAACGGCGAAATTAACCTAAAAAATTTATAAAGTCAAAGAAACGGTTTTTTGCTAATAAAAAAAAAATTGAAATCCAATTGAAAAATGTTAAGTGAGAAAGTTATAGCTATTAAAAAACCTATCGATTCGTATTTTTAAATACATCAATTGCTATGTTATTTTTCGGGATATATATCAAAAAAACCGTCAAAAATCGACTTTTTTTTTTGTTTTTGCTGTATCTCTTGCAAATTAAGGTTTTGAAACTTGTTACTTGTTGTAAATCTAGCCCTCGGCAAGCAAAAAAGTACCTTTTATTAAATTAAAAAATATTAAAAAATTTTCGTGTTATCGATTTTTCGTAAAAAGGGTTATCTGGAAAATCGGCTCTTCTTGTTCGACAAATAGTTGTAGAGAAACGAATCAGGGCTCGTTTTTTTTCTTAAGAGTTGTACTTTCATGGTAAAAAAGAGTGATAACGATTTTATTCATTTCAAGTGTCCAAAGATGACTGAAAAAAGTAAAAATATTTTGCTCGTGTTTTTCTTGAATATCTTTTTTGATTATCAATTTTCGATATTGTCTATTACAGGAATCGATTGCTGGCATTTTTACACGAATTAAAAAAAAAACGTTGCTCTACGACCTTCTGGAGCCGATAGCCAGGTTGTCGTAAACGTCATATTTTGTTTTATCTCGTCGAGCTACCCCAAATTAAGTACAAAAGAATTTTTTTAGGTGGTCCAGAAGTCAAGATAATGAAAATTTTGAAAGTAAAAGCGCTTTTGAATGCGCGAATTCAGTTTTATTTTGTACAGTGGCCGAGTAGCGTTGCCCCCACTCCCCCGGCCGCTACAGTTAGCTCGCGTAGTGGCCTGTGGAATTAAAAAAAAAAAAATTCTCGGCTCCAGAAGGTCGTAGCGTAGTTTTTTTTTTTAAATTTGCGTATAAAAATGCCAACAATCGATTCCTGTAATAGACATTATCGAGAAATGAAAATCGAAAAAGATATTCAAAAATTTTTTTCTATTTTCAAAATCTTTTTTGGATCCTTGAAATGAATAAAATCGTTATCATTCTTTTTTACCATGAAAGTACAACTCTTAAGAAAAAAAATGAGCCCTGATTCGTTTCTCTACGACTATTCGTCGAGCAAGAAGAGCCGATTTTCGAGATGACCTTTTTTTCGAAAAATCGTTATAACTCGAAAAATGTTTAATATTTTTTATGCCGAGAGCTACATTTACAGCAAGTAACAAGTTTCAAAACCTTAATTTCAAAAAGTAATATAATATATTTAAATGCGAATCGATACGTTTTCTTAATAGCTACAACTTTCTCCTTTAACTTTTTTCGATTGAAGTTCAAATTTTTTTTTTAGCGAAAAACCATTTTTTTCGACTTATGAATTTATTCCAGGTGGTATTTTTTGTAAGCTCTTCTACCTATTGATTGGACTATAATGTAAATAAAACATCGGCTATTAATTAAAATTTTTTTTTTTTTAATTCAATTTTTCATCTTTTCCCACTAAAACTGTCGATTTAATCAAAATTACTATTTTAGAGGAACTGGAAACTCGAATACTTTTTTTTATTTCGTTAAAGATTTTTAAACGCTTTCCGATCTCTACAGATTTATTTCTTTGCAGGAGTACCACAACGCGAAGAATTGGAATCACAACAGCAGTTCGGGACATTACAAACCTTTTTACAATAACGGCAACAGACACAGGCGTAATTTCCACCACAAGAATTATCACAAAAATTATCGGTACCGGCAGTGATCGAACACGGTCGGTTATTTTTTTAGGAAATTCAAATGTAAAATTGTGTACATTTCATGAATTATTACTTTCGACACGTGAAATTTCGTGGAATTAATTTTTGTTTTTTTTTTTAAGAAAAGAAACTAACTACTGATTTCACCATTTTAATAATTGTAAGCTGAATGTTACTCTTTTAAACTTAGACCTAGTTTAATTTTATATATGAAGTATATTAGAAAAAAAAAATGGTTATTTATTATTTCTGTTCCCTCAGCTTTTTTGTCGATATGCATTTACCGTATTGTAACTTGTCTGTATTATATTTTTACTTATTGATTGTACATAGAATTAAATCTATTATCGATAAGAACAATACACTTGTCCCTAAGACTAAATAAATTGTCTTTTTTTAACTTTTGTTTTCTTAATATTTCAATTTCATTCGTTACGACTACAAAATAGATCGCAGAATTAGAAATCGTAGGAAAGTGACGTCACGTTTCCGAGACTACCGTACACAATCAGCGAACGGCAGAACAATGACGTCAAATCATCCATAGAAAATTGAATATCCTGTATATTAATTTTTCTATGGTCATTCCACAAAACAGGCGTTACATGGCACGGGTCGTGCGAAATTTGGGCAAATACGCGTATCTACTCGTATATATTTTTATTAATGTGACCGAATACTGGAGATAAAATCTGTTTATTTGTATTTTCAATTATGATTAAGTCATTCTTTTTACTTTTGTCACTTTTCGTTTTGTTTTATAAATTGATAATTTATACAAATTGGTCTGTTTTTAGAATAAAATAGTATCTTTTTTCTTAAAATCACAAAGCAATGACTTTATAACCAAATTTAGTTAATGTTTAATTTTAATCAGACAAATCGTTAATAAAATTTCATTAAAATCCGAAAAGTTTTATAAAATATCTTTTTTATATATACAGGGTGTGCCATCTAACACTTCCGCTGCCAATATCTCCGAAATGAAGAAATTTATTTTAGTTTCAGAAATTGGGGTTGTTAGATCCCTCGAATAGCTTCAAATTGTGGTTAGAATTGTTAGTTCGAATCTTTCTGCATAGATGGCGCGGCGATACTAAAAAATTTTTTGTTCCCTGGAATGTGGAAATGCAGTCTCTCTGAAAGATCGTTAAATTTTAAGTAATTTTTGTAATATAAAGTTTTTCACTATTTTTACTTATTTTCGAGATATGTCGACTTCAATATGCAATGTATGATATAAATGGAAAATATATTATTTTACCTAAATCACACCGATACAAAATATTCTTTTAAAATATTGTTATAATGACTTTATTCACAAACTACTACTACTACTACTACATACTAACTAATAAACAATAAATTATAAAAAAAATCTTAATGTTTATTGTAAATATAATCTAATCCAAGATATTGCAAAAAGAGAATTTAAATTTGAAGTGTTATCATAATTTTCTTTAAGACTTTTTTTACTCGTTTTAGACCTTCAATAAAATGATTGACCCATACCAAAAAAATATATCTTAAAGTAGAAAATCTGCCTATTATTATGCTTTTTTTAGAATTAAAATCTGTTCAGTAGTTTTTGAGAAAAAAATTCCGAAAATTTGTCGATTTCGTCACTTTTTTCACATTAAATTATAAATATCTCAGAAACGAAGTATTTTTCGAATTTTTGTCAAAGAACAAAAATTGTTTATTTTGGTCCATTTTCAAAGCCATTCGGCGAGTAATTTTTTTTTTACAACCTTTTGTTTATAACAATTGCCTGACCACGCCGAAAAATATAAAAAAAATATGTAAGTTATCAGAAAAATACACTATAAAATAAAAAAGTTTCATGCTGTAGGTTTTTGTTTTAAAAATTTAGTCGGTTTATGCCTTTTTTTTAGGGGTGAACCGCTCGCTTATAAAATAATCATAAAAATAAAAAAACGGTTTTTTGCTAATAAAAAAAATTTGAACTCCAATCGAAAAAGTTAACTGAGAAAGTTGTAGTTATTAAATTATTATTATTGCTATATTACTTTTCAAGATATATATATCGAAAAAACCGTCAAAAATCGACTTTTTTTAGCAAGCAAAAAAGTACCTTTTTTTTAAATTAAAAAATATTAAAAAATTTTCGAGATATCGATTTTTCGAAAAAAAAGGTCATCTCAAAAATCGATTCTTCTTGCTCGACAAATAGTCATAGAGAAACGATTCAGGGCTCGTTTTTTTCCTTCAGAGTTGTACTTTCATGGTAAAAAAGAGTGATAACGATTTTATTCATTTCAAGTGTCCAAAGATCATTTTGAAAAAAGCAAAAATATTTTGGTCGGGTTTTTCTTGATGAATATCTTTTTCGATTTTCATTTCTCGATATCTATTACAGGAATCGATTGCTTGCATTTTTACGCGAATTTAAAACAAAAACGTTGCCCTATGACCTGGAACCGAGATTTTTTTTTTTATTTTTTCATTTAGAAAATTAATTATAATTTGTTTCTGCAAATAGCATTTATTCACATCACATATTACGTTTCACAGTAATTTTTACAATTATAAAATACAAGTTATTTGTTTTATTGACACATTTTTATAGAATTTGCAGAACGAATACTGAAGACAGATAAAATTCCTCAATTATTAATTAGTAATCAATTTTATTAAACAAAATGTTAAATATTTAAACATATAACCCAACTTATTACATGGTAAAATTAAGTATCGTTGGATTCTGTATGTAAATCTTCGAGTTCTCCACTGTGTTGACTTTCAGTTTCATTATCATGTTCCGAAATTGCGTGAAGATTATATTTTTTATATTTAATAAAATCTGGAACAATGCCTATCAGAGCAATACCTTTGATAACCTCGATTACAACCGACACTTCTGCATCCTTAAGGCTTACTCTATGGTCAGACCTGATCTGAAAGACTACATCCGCCACAGCTTTAATTACGTCGTCTCTCTTTAAATTATTATTATTCCTGTGGTTGTAAACGACAGAAAAAGTCTTGCTACTCTCTGCAAAGTGTTTCGGTGCAATCCTTTTAAAAGCGTTTTCAATATCCTTTACATAGGCTTTGCAAGTCACCTCTATAGGCACTAACCGAAGTAAAACTTTAGTTTGTCTGCTCTTCGTTTCTGCTATATCTGATATAATTTTCTCTGCCAACTGAACGGTATCTTCTAGTGTAGTTTTTATAAAGATCATATTTTTAGCTCCCGATTCGACAACCTGAAATCTCTTTGTCTTAATGGAAGTTAATTCTAATAACTCGTTCCTCAATTCATCTCCAATATCAGTGTCATCTTTGGTATCTGTATTTGCTGGTGGTGGATACAATATATCTGCATATTTATTAAGTAAATTATAAGATTCTTTGACACAATCTTTCTCCCTGTTGTTGCAACTACAAATAAAGCCTTTCAAATTTACCTCTAAGGAAGGCCTCTTATGTTTTTTAACATTAAATTTTTGTTTGTATTTAGATTTTTGGATGTTACTATGAATATCACTCATTCTTACTATTTTTTATATATTTTTAATTCTTCTGTAGCTATAGAGACAAATCGATACGCTTTATTTATTTACTTTATATTCACATTAAGGGTTTTTTGGCGAGCCAAACCACATCAAACCCGGTTAGCTCGAGTTTGATTGTGTTAAGAGTTTGAGTAAACATTTGACAGAACTCGCAAAAATTCTTTTGGTTTGGATATCTAATCAATAATAAAATCATAACCTATAATCTATGATAGTGCTCGTAGCTCAAGTTGTTTGATTATTTCTTATATACTATAATTGTTATTCCTAATCTGAAATGCACATCCATGAAATAACGTTAATGTATAGATGGTTATTAAATCAAAATG